TTGCTGGCCACCCCATGTGGTTTTTTTTTTTGGTGGGGGGGACGTTTTTGCCATAGGGCACATGCACTCGCCAGACAGACAGAGACAGAGAGACAGAAAGCGAGAAATCACCCCCCAGGGAGGATGGCCATGCTGCAATCCCTTCTCCTCCATTCTCCTCTCGGGATCTTGGGCACGCACGCACACGCGCCCGGCCTGAGTTTAAACCACCGGGTCCGGGACGCGAACCGCGGTCGACTACGTGGGAGTCCAGCGACATAGCCATTACGCTAACTGCTGGTCCCCCCCCTCTTATGTTTTAAAGGTTTTTTTAACATAGGTTGCATATGTTCGCCAGAGAGACAGACAGAGACAGAAAGGGAGAGGAAAGATTCCACGGCAGAATGGCCATGCCACCATCCCGTCTTCTCCTCCTGGCATTTTGGGCATGCACCTGCAACAGGCATTGGTTTGAAGCTGCCAGATCCAACACTCCAGGCACGACCCTAACCACTGTGCCACCATGACCTTTCCGGAGCTGGGCTCCCATCGCTCCCTCAGTCTGGCTTCCGATAGCGCACTGCCATGGCTGTGTCTGCTCAGCCCACACAGAGGGACCGGGGAGCTGGTCACTGTGGGTGCCGTGTGCACAGAGGGGATGGTCAGCCCAGCACAGCAGTACTGGGGGTGCTGTCGGGTCATGTTCTGAGTGACTGCGAGGAGGGGGAGGTTGCGGGGGTGGGAAGGAGCACTTGGCCAGCTGGCTCCGATGCCTGGGACACTCCCAAGTGGGTGCAGGGCAACGCACCCGAGACCAGGAGCGTAGCTATAAACCTGGGAGTCATCGCGGGGAGGGGGCTGGGTTGGAGTCACGGGACGGGTGAGATCATCGGTCCGCACTGCCCGCCAATGCCATGGGCTCCACGCTGCATCGAGGCCCAAGGAGGCACAAGGAGGCTGAGGAGGAGAGTCTCGCAGGTAGGAGAGAGCCAGCAGGTGGGGCTTCCGAGAAGGGGGAGCCCCTGCAGGAGGGGACCGCGTCCACGGCGGTGTGAGAGCCGGGACTGGCCCTGGTTCAGTGCCGGGACCACAGGAGCGTTGGAGACACAGGGCTAGTGCAGCTCCCGGGAGACTCGCTTTGGGTGTGCGTGGGGCCGTCTTCCTAAGCCCTCAGATCCAAGGCACGGGCGAACTCGGGTGCCCCGCAGACGAAGGGCGTCCTCTGGTCCCTGGCATCGGGGTCACTGGTCTGTCCTCGTCACACCTTCCGTAGCTGAGCATGTCCTTCCCGGGTCCGACCTTCTTGAGAACCTCAGCACACTTCTTGGAGAGCCAGGGTCCACTGCCCTGTCTCGGGCATGGCCAGGAGGCAGTCGGGCCGACCGTCACGGCCAAGGCCTGCCTGCACATTGGGTCCTAGCTTGGTGCCACCGGCCTGTGCTGCCAGGGCTGCGTGGAGGACAGTGCGGTGCAGGGTCAGGCCCTAGGACCTGAGGCAGGGCCCAGGGTTGGGGCTCCGGGTGCCACAGGGCACTGGTGTGGAAACCCAGCCTTGGGAGGTTATGGCCGATCACACAGACCCTGCACCACGGATGCACATTCTCTTCTGAGGGCTCTGAGTGCTTTTCAGGTTCCGGCAGCCTGGGCGGGGCCTTGCGGTGGGCCCTGGGCTCACAGGCGGTGTCCACTGGGGTCCTTCTGACAGGGAAGGGGTATTGGCGTGGGCGACCCCGTCACTCAGGAGACAGCACACAGGGAGCGCGGGGCAGATGCTGCTGCGAACCTGTGGGTACCCAGATGCCTGATCCAGGGTTTGTGGCCTGCAGTGAGGGGCAGCGCTCAGAAACCCCCTTCTGCCCACGGCCTGCTGGAGTCTGACAGAGGAAGTGGGTGGTGGGGAGGAGAGAAACCTGGAGGCCCAGGAGGCAGCGGCACCCGGCTTCCAGTAGCGGCTGCCAGCCTTCCCTGGGGGCAGAGACTCTGGAAGTGCCGGGAGGGACCAGGGACGAGCTGGCAAAGTAGAGCCCAGGACCCCTGCAGAGGTGCAGAGGGGAGGCTGAGCGGGGGTCGGTGAGAGCGCCACCCCACTCCAAAGCGCAGGGGCTCCACCCGGCTGCAAACTGCAGAGGGTCGGGTCTGATGAACACAGGAGGCCCTGCGCTTGGCAGCTCCTGCTCTTCTGTGAGCAGAGCCCTGCGGGGGCCCCTGTGCGTCTGCCCAGTGGACCCTGCACCTAGGGCTCCGTGCACACCTGCTCAGTGGACCCCGTTCATGGGACTCCGTGGGCGCCCGCCTGGTGGACCTGGTCCATGGGTCTCCGTGTGAGTCTGCCAGGTGGACCCCGTGCACGGGGCTCCATGAGCGCCTGCCTGGTGGACCCCGTTCATGGGGCTCCATGTGCACCTGCCCGGTGGACCCCGTGCACAGGGCTCCGTGAGCGCCTGCCCGGTGGACCCCGTGTGGGGCTCCGTGTGCACCTGCCCACGTACACAGTGTGTGAGGAGCTTTTGGAGCCTCCCTGAATGGCCCACACAGCTGGGAACGTGTGCACAGCCGCCCAGGGTGGAGTGTCCTGGGGACCTGCCCAGGTAGCTCCTGACCTGGAGCTGCCAGTGCACCCATTAGCACAGACCCTCCACCCACACCTGACCGCGAGGAGCTGCCTGCCACCTCTCCGGGTAGACCGGGTGGTGGGGCTCCCTGGCGGCCTAGGCAGACCCGTGCACCGTTACGTGCGTGGGAGCATCGGCTGTGGCAGGAGGGCTTGCAGGGGGCTCAGGTCACGATGGGCGGTCCCCGTGCACAGCGCTCCTACCAAGTGGGCTCTCTCCGATGTCAGGAGCCCTCCAGAGCCCTGCCCCGGCTCCGCGTGCTGTGTCGGAGCGGCGTGTGGTGGCCTGTCCGGTGCTGGATGAGGCCCTTCCGGGGCTCCTGCATGAGGGGTGTCGCCCTGCCGTCTGGTTTCTGTGGCTTCACGGG